ACAAATACACAGGTCACGGGTTCAACTCTCGGGTCGACACAGATACTGTACACAGGTAAGGTGGGAACTAGGGATCGAGCCCTGGGATCTGCATCTGCTACTGCTAAAGGTGAAAACATTTTCAATTTGAGATGTCCAACATTTTAAAGCAATTTTATAATTAGACAGTTTTTCGGTTGTCCTTGGGGTATCCCTTTCATTGTTCTTGCAGCTCCCTTTTTACTGTGCCTCTTACGCACAAGGCTGCCCACGTTGATTGTGGTTGAGCGGCAGCTGCCCACATCCCCGTGTGCCTTCACGGCCCACTTGCACATTATTTCAGGAGGCAGAGTAAAAGGGAAGGTATGCTCCTGTGCATCTCTTCAGAGCTTCATTTTTCCCTGTTCATTTCACTTCAGATATTCGGCTTATACAGTCTTTGTGTCCGTCCTTCATCTTTATACTTCCGTTCATTTCATTTCTAATCTTCATATCATCTATTTTCTTAATGATGCTCGCATACAAAGGGAGTGGAGGGGAGGGTGGAGGGTAACGGATAGAAGGCGGATTTCTCTAGGAATATGGGGCAGGGGAGGTAGGGGCAACGGGATGGAAAGAAATATGTGGAGGAAAGGATAGAGTATGGCATGCAAAGAGCAGGGGAAAGGTGTATGACGGGTTTCACAGATTTCTAGATATTCACCGCTGAAGCAGACTACTCTAGCACAGAAAAAAAAAACAAAAAACAGCAACACTAACTATGGCGAGTGGCCACCCCTACAGACCAGACAAGACCGGTTCGGGTGTGGGCTATGGAAGCACCGCATCCAATTTTCGCAGTGACAGTTGCTGCATCGAATAGCACGGCGCAGACAGATGTCACAGGCTACGTGGCTCGTACATGCTAGGAACACAGAGGCACGTGGACCGCAATTATAGAGGCATTGCCGTTCCAGCCCATCTACAAATTGGACATGACATGTCCGGGTGCCGTACATGCGTATAGTACTGACCGTCATCGTACGTATGGAAGTGAAAACTCGCATGGACTATACCTTCATAATCCTCACGGCACAAGGCATGTGAACCACATGCTAGTCGAATCTCCGGCGGGTCATCACAAAATGGCATGGAGCATCTTTCTTGGGCTTCCTCAGTATGTATTCCTTCTCTATGGGCAGACGACGACAGGGAGGATCGGTCCAACGCAAGGGCATTCAGCTGCTGCAGGATATGATCCGCAACAGCTCGCCCTGGTGTTCATAAACTATGAGCACATCGCTCTGCCAGTGGTTCATATAGAAGTCTATTTTCCTCCTCGGACTGCTGTGTTCGTCGTTCGTCTGGCAAGAAAGAGGGAGATCCGTCAGCGGTTGCCGTAGGTGTATGACCAATACCGCATGTGGGACATGCTAGCAGAGGATGTGGAGGGTGATGGCACTGGGGATAGTCCACACAGTAAAGACATACTTTCTATGACAGCTTCCTGGGAGCGTTGACGACACATGCCATGTTTCTGACATGTCATTAGTATGGAAGGCTGACGTGCACAGTTATTTAAGCATGGCAGATCAAGGCCACAACGGCATGCTGGGAAAGCAATCAGGGGGTGGGGGGGATGAGCACAGGACTGGGGATCACAATTTTCATCTGAGAGGCTAGCAGCGACCATCCCTTCATAGTGTCCGGAGCAGAGGCTATGTCGTGTACATGCCAACCGAACTGCAACTGTGCGACAACACAACGGGAGGGCACAGCCATCATCCTGTGGAGAGGTCCTTTCACTGTTTGTGGTAGAATCAGCCGGATTGCTCTCCGGGGGGTGCAGTGCTTGCAAATGCTCATCGACATAACGTTCCTGATGGATGAACCAGACTGAGTGACCCTCCAGCATTTGGTGATAGAAAGAGTTAATATTTCCCACTGTGTGCACCCTACCACCATTGTCCCCTAGGATCCATGAATTACCTGCAATCCCACTGTGTGTGTGTGTGTGTGTGTGTGTGTGTGTGTGTGTGTGTGTGTGTGTGTTAAAGCACCTCAAATTCTCTCTCTCATTTCCTCCACAAATCATAACACACCATCCATAACGAAAAGGTATAGATAAAATGCAAGGTTGGCCACGCCAAGCTGCCACACACCCGTCTGCCGCCGAAGCTGGCACATGCACATATAGTATACACAGATATTTATTTCATAATCCATAAAAGGGTGGAGGGCAAAAGGCAACTTTTGTGTGTGTGTGTGTGTGTGTGTGTGTGTGTGTGTTTCTGTGGAGGCAAATAACACTCACCGTTCTCATCTCGAAAGTTCTCAAACAACGACTGGCTGAAAACCAACGCATGAGTTATCTCATGAATGGCAATCGAAAGCTGCAACATGAGACACCAGCCAACAGGAGGTCAGAGTTCTCTGTGCAGAAACATGCTCAGGTATAGGCTTCCATGTAACAATGAATAGAATAACAAAACAACAAAGCGCAGTTTTTAAACCACCAGTACTTGGCCCAGCTATTGATGCCGAGCCTGGAATGCCCCTGCGCGCCAGTTTTCGCTGAAGCGCCGAGGTACAGTTTCAAAAAAAAATTGGCTGGCGCTTCCAGCCATTGTGGTCCGGTACCCCGAAGCCCTAAAGGCGCGGCGCGTTAACGGGAAAGCGCCGCGGCCGATAGCTGGGCCAAGTACTGGTGGTTTAACAAGAGATGCTAGCACAACATAACAATGTGGGCCCAGAGAACAAGCTTGCTTCTCCAATGCAAGCATCACCTTGTTATGTGCCTAATTGAAACGAGATACGGCATGGCATCCACATGTTCCCATACACATGCGCAACGGCAAGAGATCTTGGAGAGAGCAATTCACACCACACCGGATGAGAGAATACAAAGTGGAAGCACTTAAACCAAAAAACAGAATTGAAATTACTCAATTCTCATTAATATCCCGCTCCCTCCAGCGAATCAATGCACTGTTATTTCCAAGAATTAACCATGTTATTAACATCCACGAACCAACTAAGAAGAGAGTTTCAACAAGAAAGGGAGACTTCTTCTTCCTCCCAACCTCAAGATCACCGCTATGGCGCAGGCCTGCGCCCAACCTATCAAGCCAATCAAGCGCCACCAACCCACCTTAACCCGACACGCCACTCAGCAGTCCAAACTCGATGCCCACTGCAGATGAAGTGTCCGCTCAACAGGGCAGGGTAGCTCCCAGGACGAACAAGAAGAACACCAGATTGATGAAGAAGGAGATGGCTGCCACTTCGACAAACACTTGCAAGAAGGGTTTCGATGGCGACCCTGCCCCTCCCCAACAGCACAGGCAAGAGGAGGCGCCTTACAGCGCTCAGGGCCTGATGCCCAGCGCAGTCACAGCACGAGCCAGGAAGCCCCAGCTATGGAGGACAGCCCTAGCAGCATGAAGATGATGCCGCAAGTGAAATAACTCACCACCCAAACAGCATGCCATCTCCAGCAGTACTTTGTGGAAAACAAATGACGAGATGGAACCCGTTTTTCTAGCCCTCGGCGCTTTTGTAGACTGCTGTTTCCCTGACTCGACAGCCTACAGCCTAGGAACGACAGCCTATAGCCTAGGGGAGGGCAGAAACGACCTACAACTCGAGGACAGAAAGGACAAAGCAGAGAGACCTAGTGCTATGACAGCTTGCCTACAGAGACTACTCCAAACAGACCAAGGGATCAAGCCCAGTTGGGCTCTCACACACAAAAAAAAAAACACAGCAAACAAAACAGCTCACAGGATTGAATCCCGGAGAGTTGAAAACCAGGCAACATCAAACGAAGTTAGTGTACAGGCTGCATGCAACCTTACCCTTTGACACGATGTAGAAAGACAGTTTCAATGTGTTCGTGTACTTCACAGTCTCACGCTCTAGCTCACAGCTTAACAACATCCTCATCCAATTTATGAGCTATCGAAAGTTCATTTTCAGCTGAACACTTACAGTATGCCATTTTTCCAGTGCAACTTGACGTTAACACACAGAGGCTGGAGGTTTTGGCATGCAGTTGACGCCTCCCCAACCAGAGATCGAACACGTGGGACTGCCAAGGTCAGATTCTGTGAGGGGAGAGTCCAAAGAATACCCAATGGAAGACTCAAAGACATATACTGTCCAATGCGACGCAATCACAGCACTTTCAAATGATAATCCGGGTCAAGAACACCAACACTCGCGTCAGATAATATCAGGTGAACCTGGTGAAGATAATTAAGCACAAAACAATGCCTCCCCAGCCTTTCCACCACAGACAAAGGTAGGGGAAAGGCGCACTCTCTCGAA